GTTTAATAGGTATTGCATGATTGGTGGGCAGGGTCAAAAAGGGATTATTATAATGACATGGCACCTCGGAACTAAGTGTTAACCCTTTTTTGAGAAATCATGCTCAAGTATATGAACCCAAATTGCATATTAAATAAGTTTACAAGAACCACTAAAATTAATCTTAATCTTTTTTTAAGAAATTTTACTTACCTAAATACATGTAGGTACTTAGTTTTAGACCAAATTACTTCCCAAAAATGGCCTTTTATTATTATCTATGTCTGTAATTTTTAATTTACTTTAATTATTAAGTTTAATAATCCTAAGATTTGCCTACGCCCATGGACGACAACGAAATTCAGGCAAATTTTATGACATTTCATGATTTATTACTCTACACTCTTTTGAAATAGACTATAATATTATTATTATTATACTCGATGAAACTCAAAATCACTAACCAAAAAAATATAGAGAGGCAATATTAATTCAAAAACACAGGGACAATTTCAACAGAAGAGAAAAGACAATGAACAGCAATAAAATCTGCCTACCTGTCCTAACCGGTACAAAAAAAATCAGGTAAATCAATCCAGAGGAACCAAACCACACTCACAAATAATTATGTACAACCATAGTGAGATAGCAGCACCGTAGTCAATGCGGTCGGAACGACAGGACAACAACTCAAGCATCAACTCGGCTATGCGACCGTTACCAGATCGTCTCTGAAAATGTCTACCGCAGTATTAGGCGAAACGTATGGCATGAAAACCTGCAGACCACACAGTTATCTCCGGCCGTAAAAGTTTACATTATTCGTAAGTATATTAGTCGTAAAAATGTTCCATATGTTCCTCCTTATAAAACTTTAAACGAAAAAGCAATACCATGAAAAGGGCATTTTTCCCATTTATGACATTAAACTCCGAAATAAAACTATAAAAGCTCGAAGTATGTTCCTTAAATAGATTACAGACTCACTGTTACCAGCTCTCCCGGTAAACAAGGGTTGTAATTCACTGAAATGATTGTTCTTGAAGGCATTATTAACGTTAAATAACACTATAATTGTGGTACTTACCCTGTCTCAGCAAAGTTGGAGAAATACATCATAACTATCTCGGAAAACATTCGCTCTTCTTCTCTGTACGTGTCTGTGAAGTGAAATTTTGGCCCGTCTAGAGGCACCCCAAACACGTACGGCAGCTCTTCTCCATTATAGCTCTTGTCTCTCTGGAACGGATTTTAAATTTAGTTCCCCAAAATAGACTGCTATTTATAATTAATGGGACAAAGTCGAGACTTCGGTCAACACCCTGTTTGAGATATTGTTATTGTGGCGGAGAAAGTAGACCACATGTGTCCACTGGACAAATTCATTTGAGGTTACTGTTTATTGCAAATGACATTGTTACACAGGGTGGAACAAAACTCTAGTAATTGCGATACAATTTATCTCCGTTTAAAATTATCGAATTTTGTCTAGATTTGTGCCCAGAATTTTCGTCCTCCTGGAAGTTTCTCTCTATCTGTTCGTGAAAGGTATTCGGGAAAAACTATCATTGCGGATTTTTATCAACGCAATAAAACCAAAAACAATAAATTTTCAGAATTATTGTTAATTTGTCTGTGCGTTTATATACGCCAGTTGGGGTGCAGTTTTCCAAATACACACATCGGAAAATATTCATTTTAGCCTAAAACCTACAGTTTGTAAAAAACTTGATAAAAGATTAGTTACCGTTTTTGCAGGCTTTGTTCAACCCATAGAAATCTACAAGGTGGTCGAGTGTACCAATTTAATCGAAATTAAACGACCTCATGCATTTATTTTTATGATATTTAGTATGTTATAAAAATATCCCTAGACTTTTCCGATGTGTGTATATTACAGTAAACTTCACTCAACATTCACTCGATTTGAAAAATTACGTCAAATATTCATAGCGAAAAAATACTATACAAATACTTTTCAGTTGATTTGGATGAAATATTGGTGAACTAAATACATAGATAAATGAAGACATAAGTGATAAATGAAGCTAAATGAAGACATGAGAACTTTTCACTGAGAAAATTCAAAAACTTCAAGTTCACATGAAAAAAGTGACTGAATCAAGAGTACACTTCAACCATGCTCTCAAAAAACCATTGAATATGTAAAAGTATTACATAATATACATTGTACAGTATTGCACAATATTGTACGGTACAATCCAATATAGACGTATCCATAACAAAATACTTCCATATTTCCTTATTATGGAAACAAAAAAAATGAAACACAAAGTTTATGAATGGATCAAAGTCGAAAGAAATCGTTTCAAATCAACGGTAAACTAAATTTAACAGCAGGATGTTTAACAGATCGAGCGGCCAAATTGAAAGGGAGATTTGTTTGTTTTCTTTCCGTTTTCCTTGATGCTATCGAATGAACTAGAGTACCTTTTTGTGGTTTGTTAGTTTGTTGAGAGTCTATCAATCTTTCTGTACTTATCACAAAGCACTAAAGATAGCAGTTCAGCTGTTGGTGTATCCGAACAGGAAATTTGAAAGATGATAATCTTGAGTGATGATCCAAACATTGATTTTTTCAGGCCAATATCAGTTTCAGTTTTTAGCTATGCAGTTGTATTATACTTTCATGAATCTGAAAGTGACCTAAGTGAATATTTGAGTGATATTGAATAAAAAAAATATTGAAAGATATATGATTTCATATATAATCTTGATATTTGCTGTATAATATAACAAAATATTCGTATGATTGGTTTCTGTGTTTTCCATCTTTCATTGAGAAGATTAGTTAGTGACATGGGATACTATTGATGACCGATCATAGCATATAAAAATTGTTTTGTTCGAGTTGACTGATTTATAAACTAGTCCGTGTATATGACAGTCGTTACATAAGAATGTTGTGCCAATTTTATGCCTATAATGATTGGGCAACTGATATGCGATACTCAAAGTAAAAACAGGTAATCTCATCACAAGAAACAGGCCAACTCAGAGCCACTAGTCATCGGCTTCGTGTTAATGTAGGACAGACACTACATCGCACTGATGAAAGGCCAATTAACCAAAAATCGGTCTGCATGAATGTGTTACCGCCCAAAGCATATGCCGGAATTACTTCTGAGGAGAATTCTGCACTGACATCTGTCGAATATAATACAACGCCTTTCGTGGTATGAGCCAGAGGAGTAGTTGTTTTCTGATAGGTGTTAGACCATGAACTTACTGTATAGGTGAGTGGATGCTGTCTTGAACGGATTGTTTCTTCAGATGATTTCATATTGTTGAAATATAATAAAAATATGAAATATGAAATTCAAAAAGTATCTTTGAAAAATCCATTCATATTATAGTAAGTTCGATAAGGCAATTACATGACCGTTTTTCTGAATCATTCAATATCGTGAATGTCTCTCAAAACACTATGAATCATAAAGTCCTACACGAAAGATTCATTTGACCTTGGGAGTTCAAAAGTATTTTTTCTCGCCTGATGGATACGGGAAATTCGGGAAGTGTTTTTAATGAAGTATGCTTTTTAATAATGGAAATTAGCAGAAACTGTGCAANTTCGAAGAAAGTTACTGAAGTGTTTTTGAAGCCATATATTTTATTATATAGTTATTGTGATTCTTATATAATCAGAAATTATTATTGAATAACGAAATTAGTCAGCTCTCTCACTATATTATTACAGGGGAGTTGTTGAAAGGAAGGTTGCACTATATCGTTTACTTGAACTATATTTATATTTATTTCATCTCCACTGCGTTCAAACTCATTATTCCATCTCATAATTCTGCGTGTTTCCACTTGTTATATCTGTATTGAAAACTAGTTCGATTTGAGGTACCACACTATTCATTAGGGGGTAATATTCCTGATTTAACAATCTCTTACGTACGTTTGAGAACGAAATAGCGTATTCTTATTCCTAAGCAATGAACACCTGGATAGATAATGTGACACTAGGGGCTTGTAATGTCCTTTGCGATACATAAGGCTCACCAGGGAGACGACTTCGAAATTTTATCACACGACATTGAAACCGGGCTTTACGCGACTCCATCTACTAGAAAATTTATCGCGCTCTGGGAAATGAACAAGTGGCTTTCTGTTTAATGATTATCGAAGAATTTTTGAGAGAAGAAGGGCGCGACATGTTTGAGGACTCAATATTTTTCATCATTCATCTCGCACAATTTCGAAAGGAAAGAGAAGAACGCATTTACCGTCCGTACTTCATTGAAAACATAAAAGTCAATAGTCTCTACATTATTGGCGCAAATTTGTAGTAACTTCGGAATGCGGTTGTTGTCCTCCTCTTCATAGAAGAGAATGTACACCCCACTTGGTGATCGAAACACGTGTCGAGGTGTAAAAATAACGATTTGGTGTTGGGAAAAAACTCCAGTAATATTCAAACAAGCTCTTATTAAAGTGTCCTTAAAAGATCAAAATGAAATTTTAAATCACATTAACCACATTCATTTATGACTTTACAAAATTGAAATTATAATAAAAGCTTGTCGCGATGCCTAAAAGAAATCTCTACATATTCATTCAGATNATAATATTTATTTGCAGACATTATGAATTGCTTACAAGTTTAGTAGATGCCTCAACATACTCACTGTATTCAAATCGTGTATCAACAACAAACATTCGCCACAATTGGAAGGCATTTCAATTCTTTATTCAACCCTGTTACATTTTCAATATAACAGCAGGAGTTTGTTCTGGTATGAGAAAAGCATACTGGAATGATTGAAAACCCAATATGCCATGTCAAATCCACACAAAAATAAATGTTCGGCCGGAAATTTTGGCTAACCCAGAAATCGATTTTCTGGAAAATGATAAATGTCTCCAAACCGGATATAATAATGTCAGGACAGACAATTCCGCTTTCTGCTTCGATTAGTTTGTTGGAGGTTAAAATGGCCACCAATATGTCTTGGCACAATCATGTCCCTGTAATTGCAAAGGTTGCTTCTGAAAATTTTGGAACACCGAACCAAAAAACTGTACACACCGCAGCAACTTTTGATGTTTTATAAAGCTCAGATCAGACCTTCTTTGGGGTATTATTTTCATGTATGGGGTTCCGCCCCTAAGCATACTCTGAAGCTGCTAGATTCAATCCAAAAAGGGGAATCCGCCTGATTGCAGCCTTGATAGTCTGGAACATCGTAAAAAGTTGAGGATTCCACCAAGAACGGTACATCTGCAGACTGTGGGTGGTTCAACTTACACAGTAAAAATTATCTCTTTCAAACGAGATCATAGGTTGCTTTAAAATTTTCATCTCTATTGAAGAAATCATTACTTCATGCCAACAGCGCCATGTTCCACAAGAGAATCACATTTTTTTCAACGAAGAAATCAAATTTCTTGGCCTTTCAAAGACATCATTCGTTTGATTATATTATTGCGAAGATGAACTATTTTGAATCAAGAAAATATAATATCATCTCAAAATCTACCGTCTATTTAAAGAGAAAAATAAACTGTTTCAAATGGAGAGTAATATCAAGTTGATCTGAAAACGGATTGTTTGTTTGAATTCAAAACTGTATCCCTTCAAATAACTCAATTCGTTTGTTACAAGAGTTTTGTGAATCTATATACAAAACTATATTATGATCGATTGAACAGGAATTTTGTATAGAATGAACATGAGCAGGATTTCTTTTAAAGAAGTATTTCATTCATTTCAGTTCGAAACAAAAACTGTTTTATTTGAATATAGATATTATTGAAAAGAATTTAAATTCAGTATCATGAGAAACTAACAATGTGGAACAGTGTTCGCGTACGCGTCAGTGTGGTTTGGAGAGTGACGTGTGTGTGTTGTGATTTTAAGGATGAAGTGTTTTATGTGTTTCTAGGTAGTGCCATTATTTTCCGATTATTTTGTATCTACCATAATAGAACAGATTTTATACGACTAGGGTCTCACACAGTTGGAAGATATTTTCATGGGTAAATATTATAATTGGATAAAATTGAGGTGTTTGGTTACTTGAGAAAGAAACTTCGCTATATCAGTGAGTCCTGCGTTGTATACTAGTACGGAAGAGAAAGTGGTAAACTTTGACTGCAACTCTTAATTTTGCCCTCATTTTGCGAAAATTATATCAATGCTTCACACATGCATTATTACATTTGCCGAGCTCTGCAAGTGTATATTTAATTTCAACTGAAAAATCCTCCACGTTGATTCAAATTCGCCAATCTCTTGTTTTGAACATATCTTTTATCTTGTTTTAAATAAGTGCATTTTCTCTAAATAAAATTTGATTTTCTCTTAGATCGAATTCATTTTTTAAAATTGAGATAATGTTCTTCACTTCGAGATTTTCATTTTTACTGTGTAGTATAACTCGAATTTCACTTTTAAAACTCTGTCATTCGGAGAATTGTGTTCATGTGGGATAAACTTTTTGAGAACGTTTTTTCAAATGAATTTATTCTACAGCGATTCAAATACAATGTGAGTCGCTACTTTCGCATAGGTATTGCTCTCACAAAGCCTCAGTGATTTCCTTGTAATATTTGTGTTTTTCCTTAAAAAACAAAATATTACACGAGCATTTTTTTCGAAGACAAAAAATAATATTGAAGAATATTTCAATTTGATGAATATAAAGTTGGCCCTAGCATCAACAATGATCCAATCAGAACGTTTCATGGAACTAGGGTACTTTTTCAACAAAATGAGGTTTTTACCAATGTGACAGTTCCTCAGTCCGTTGATAACTTTTCGGGCCGATGGATTGGAAAAGATTTGAAAGAACGGCCACCTTGATCCCCCGATCTGACACCGCTGGAACTCCCAAGAAACATATCACTCAACTAATATTTTTATTCAAAATGACATGTAGGTTGTAATGGAGAGGGTATGCCTGACAACTAAAGTTGGCGTGTTTTGAGGGGTCTTTACAGCCCTATTATCAAATTATTCATTCAAGGTGGCTAGGTTCGACTGAAATGTATTGATTGCCATGATTTTTTGGCCTAGTAAATGAGTTGTGCGAGTATTCAATTACTCAAAACTGAAAAATCAAAGAAAGTTTCATTCATATAACATAATACAACGTATGTATTGCAACTGCAACCATTTTTCTCATAACCCCATCGAACTTTTCTATTTTATGTAGTGGAAAAGGGTTCTGTTTCTGGCTGACATCCTTCGTCAATGTTATAGAAAGACGTGGCATATAAACTCCACAACTTCATAAAAGGATGGCACTTACATTACTTTATTTGAAATCGATATTTTATGTCTCCTACGAGTTTCCATAAGTATGGCGGCAATCACGTACCTGTCACGTACAGTATATTATGGAGATTTTATTGCATCCCTCGAAGTGATGATGGAGCTTTTTATTTTGTATACTCACACTGAGATAATAATGAATATATTCATTCCAGAGTGGTACTTCCCAATTCATTATATTCAATACCACCAAAAAATCGATTAGCAATTAGTACAATCATGTTTTTGTTTGGAAACTGCAAAACACTTTTTCGATATGACGCTAATTGGAAAGTAATTCAACCAATCACCGAAGCGTCGTTTTTCTTTTCTATTTCCCAGTGACTGTTCTTGAGTAAACGTCCCACAAATATCCAATATCTACTGTTTGAGTGTGATCATTTTAGGAATTTTGATAGTTTAACTCATGTTTATGGAGTAATTACCTATCTTTCATTTCAAAGTACCTAGGAAACTAAAACACTTTCTGAACGAATACCAGTGTTTTATATATACGGTAAAAATATTTCTGGAGAACATCCAAGGTAGCCGACTACCTTCCGACCGAGTATCGTACTGAAAAAAATTAATAGTAACTGCCCAGTTTTCATTTTGATTTGAAGTCTATAACCATCCGACCTGCGTTTCTCACATACTGCACCTTTTTCAATTTCAAATAGCTCATGAATCAGGCAGGAACATTTTTGAACAAAGTATGTACGAAACTAGTGAAAACCATATGGAACTTAGCTCCTTTTCAATGGGGTCAGTTATCGAAGTGTACGTCTTCGTTTTCATCAAATAGCGGCTGTAGATGTAGATCAGCGTCATCTCCACCGTCGACAAAAATTCATTCCTGTTACCACATTCGTAATCAGCTCAGAACATGCAGAAGGCGGAATTATTGAAGACCATGTTTCTACAATTTCTCGTCACAGTCGTTTATACAGCAGCACGAGGTGATATTGATGAAATTTGGGGAAGTAGCGGCTCTTCTCATCCTAATAGACTCCAATCTTCTATACCCTTTCCATTCGAGCGTGTCTTTAACCATCGCCATACGTTCCATGATTTGGTGTCCTCAGGAAGCGAAAATATGCTATATCAGTGGTCGGAGGTGAATAAGCCAGTCTGATCTCCGTGATACTTTTCCTGAATCTGCTGTTTCATTAATCTCAACGATTGCTGTATACTACCACCTTTGAGACATATCAACCTTTTTTTCCACTGCAATGCAATTTCTTGGAGAGTGAGGACGGGGTTCCCAAGTTTCTCTTCCTGCTCCAGCAATTATGAATTTCCCTCAATTGGACGGTAGCCAGTTGGTTTCGACGTGGGTGCCTTGTTCACTCACTCAAATCAACCGCCGTGTTGGTCGCTAATTCAAACCCTAGTCTGAACGATCGATTTTCACTTGCTATCGTCCAATCCGTGTTAGGAATCACACGTTGAAAGGTAAGACCTCGTTAATCCTTAGCTCGCACAATTTTCGACTTCTGAGGGTTGTCGTTCGTAGGGGTGAGACAGCTGATTAACGGAAAAACAGATTTTTAAACAGATTGTTTTCAATATTTATTGTTTCCAACCCCAAAAATATATAAAGTGTTGTCACAGCCTGTGCAAGATCGAGGAACATCCTCTTTATTCGTACTTGTATTTGGCTGTGGCTTTTTCCCCATGTTAGTATTTTGAGGTAGACATTATTGACCACAGATATTTTGCTAGAGATCAGAATGGGTGAGTGAATATTTTTCCTGGTAAAGATGATGGCAACATATTAGGAGCAGAGAAACTCAGCTCTGATAACCAATAACCTGAGAGCAGTTATTGAAAACACTATCACATCGGTAGCATAGTGACGTTAAACTTTCTTGACATACTCAAAATGAATCTCCCAGTTTCATGAAGAAGGTGTCCATCATCAATAACGATCATGGAGACTTGAGGAAGTTAGATGTATTGCGAAAGTGGTGTTGAAGCGTCTCATATGATCCACAAGAAGATCCGTTACATGATGAGAATCAACACCATCCATTATAATAATTTCACAAGTTTCACACTATCAAATCAATTCAAGACGTATTTCACTACATGGTGGGTTAATTAGTTGAACCTGTACTTTGAGTCATTCTACAATTTTTTATATATAACTGTGGGTAGTTACAAAACTCGATTGGATAAATGACCAATTGTGATGAGAGAGGTATATTTTGTACTTCTGTTGTACTGATTGGAACCTATAGTGTAGTAATGAATATTACTGAAGTTCAACACTTTGACACGTGTTTCAATCACCGAGTGATCATCTTCAAGAAGAAGAATAAATTGATTTTTTATATCAATCTTCCTCTTTTAATCTTCCTCTTGAAGACGATACTTTCAGGAAAAGTATTGAGTAATAAATATGATGATTCTTGGCATTTTAAGAAGAAAAGTTCAATAATGCTGGGTAAATGGTTTCTTGTTGGTAGTTTGAGGAGAAATTTGAATATTTGAGTTCATTGATTTCCAGACATCTCAGAAGGTTCAGTTTCTGTCCTTTATTCCCTGTATGAAATATGCTAGAGTTCATATTGAAATCGTGGTTGTTCTCTTAAAGCATAGATTGAATTGATTTGAAAAGTTTTTTATCAAGTATGTGATGAAACATGTTCGGGTTGAATTTGTTGTGTACTGTTATTTGTTTCATGATTCAATTCCTCATCAAAATTTTATGTTGACTTTGGGATTCTTATGAGTCTATGGATAATGCTATGGTTAGCAACTAATTTATAGAAATGAATGTTATTAGAATGATTATTGATAAGTGTGTCTGTATGGATAAGTTTTGTGCTAGATTGCAAAGTCATTTTTATTTTTGTGAAATCTATTGATTTCAAGTTTCATTGTAAAATTTATGTTTTCCCGGATTGTTATGTATTGCAGAAATGACTATGATCGTCGATGTGCTCCTGTATTACAATTTCAATCAATACATTTTTAGAAAATTGGACGTTGCTTAATAGTTTTTTATTGAAATTGTTTGGCACTTTTTTCACGAAGGAAAAAACTAACCATCTTGGAAAACATATCAAAACTTGAGATCCACCGTACAGTTTATGATTGAACCCCTCTCCTTTGCTCTCTATTTATCTCACTATCTCAATGTACAGTAAAAATTCTTGGATGCGAATCCCAGTTCGCAACAGACACTTACAATGTATTCCTTGGAATTCGTCCTGTGTGTGAACACATAAAAGTAGGATTGCAAGTTAAGTGCGGCGTGATATCTGGCCATTTGCACGATCGGCGCAACGGAGCGGGCGTCGGATAAGATATCAAGCAGGCTGTCTCTAGCCAGCGATGCTCTGTCTGGCTCGTAACCCGTGTAGTCCCCGTAAAGGCGATCGTTCTGCGGAAAAGCGTCGTTTCGAGAGTATTCGTCCAGAGTGCGTTGCATGCAGAGGCCGGGCCTCATTTCACAGCGTGAATGGAAGTAAGCACGGAGCTCTTGATCTCGCTCCTTCTCCAGCATTCCTTTGATGAGGGCCACTGGCCCGAGGAGGTGCAGACTTTCTTGTTCGGTCACGCCGTACATCAGCTCGAATCTGCAATGATAATTGTGCATTCACCAAAGTGGAAAAGATATATAATTCAATATGAATAATAATAATAATAATACATATGAGAGGTCTACTCACAAAATTCGAGTAGGTAACTATATAGTGGAATTCTTGGATATGAAAAACCTGAAACAAGTATAGCTGAGGCTCCAGTCAATCTAATAATAACACTGATGATTTTCAAACAAGACTCAACCTCTAACGGAAGCAAGAAACTCTTTGGAAGGTTCGAAATAGATGAACATTTCAACCTAGCAGACCACTATTATAATATTCATGCAGTCATTGTTCACTGTGGTTCTGGCGTTGAATTTGGTCATTATTACGCCTTGGTCAAAGAAGAAACGGACTGGTTTAAGTTTAACGATAGTCGTGTCACGAAGTGTTCTGGTGATGTATTGAATTTATTGGAGCCTCTGGAGACACCCTACATTTTGTTTTATAAGAGAGAGGACATTGTTAGATCAAGATCTTCAGATGATGTGGTGCTGCAGTTTTTTCCGGGTTTTCCTGCAGCTGAGAAAGCAAATGCGCCACTGGAATCAATGAAGTCGCCCCGGAGCGCCAATTAATTTTTATTGTTGTTTTTATTTTATTTTTATCGTTGCTTTAATGAAAAAAAAAATATCTTTCAATTTGATATACTCATGAATCTTGAATTTCTTTAATAGATAATTATACCCCAAATCACCGAAATATGACGTTTATCTGACTATGAGAACTCAATTACCAAAATAAGACGCCAAAACCCCACCATGACAAAAAAAACAATCAACGAACATTGAAAAATTATTAAATTGATATTACCTATGTAAATATTTGAATATGTAATCATTATCCTAATATTGATGTTGATTGAATGTATTTCTGTTTTATTCTATACCATATAATTATTACTTTCTGAATCACGCACAAGGTTTTGAAACTTCATTTCTATTTTCAAAGGCGGACTACATTTTTTCTTCTGAATTTTGCTATCCCCCGAAGCCCAGATACATTCGAGAGGGCGCGCCAGCATTATCAACCACTCCCCTCACCGTGGGGTAAGTGATCATTAGGTCCGGACAAGCGCAGTGAGCTCAGAATGACAGCCTTCTGCACTGTCCAGCTAAGATTTCTGCCTTAGTGCGGCAAACCAGTATGATTTCGAGATTCGAGAGTAGAGGGGGGCATCATTCCATCAAGGACGCCAATAATCAGAACGATCATCTTGACAGAGTGGTGCGGAGTTCGAAGAGAAATATATTTTATCCGTTTTTCCTCCTCTTTGCTGACGATATTTGTCTCGTCAGGAGCTGAAAACTCCACGACAAACAATATCATTATTATTATTATTCGAATCAAATTTCCTCATTCAAAATATTCTTTAATGAATATTGTGAATACATGAACCGTGAAAACCTGGGAAAGGGGTGATTCAGAACGATAATCACTTCTAAATATATACACAATGATATTTGAAATCTTTGACACATGCAAAATTCATGTCTGGGGTTCAGCTGTACCCCGCTAGGGTTTATGAAGGTTAATATATTTTCAAAAGAGTTTGCTGTGTTAATCATGTTTCCAACTCGTCTTTAGGTACATAATAAAATGGAGTTTATTCTTTTTCAGATGGATGAAATCAATGAATAATTTTTCAATATTGAAAAATTTACGGATCTCTGCATTCAATTTTTTCAGGTGGAGGAATTCATATTAACTGATTTTCTTGTGTTAGTTAGTATGATCCATTTTAGTGAGTTCACCTCAATGAATATGTTGCAAAACAATGAATTTGTCATCGAATATTAGAAGTACTTTTTCCATGCTGAAGAAGCGTGGTGTCATCCGCAATGATCGTAAAAATTCCTTGAATTGAGAGAGTAACAGAGTCATTTACATAAATAAGGAAAATAATCGAACTCAGTACTGATCCTTGTGGAACGCCCCATAAGATATCCTTAGTTTTCCATTTGATCTCACTTAAGTAAGACCTGAACCAGTCATTACACACTCCTCTAAAGCCATAGTAGTTCAACTTTTGCAAAAGAAGTTCATGATTTGCACAATCAAAAGCTTTGGAGAAATCGCAGAATACTGCAGCTACGACCTCACTATTGTTGAGATGTGTGTAGACATGTTCAAGAAAGAAAAAGATTACATAATTTGTGCCTTTTTCCTTCTAAAAGCCAAATTGACAGTTGGTTAATATATTGTATTCATAAAGAAAAGCTAATATTTTTTTTTCGCCATTTTCGACAGTGATGAGAGCGTGAAGATAGGTCTGAAGTTATTTGGATCTTCTGCATTACCGCCTTTAAAAATAGGAATAAGACCGTTTCGTAAAAAATACTTCAGTATCGAAGGTATATTTTTTCCCTACATACTTGACATGATTATCCTTTGGGGGGTTTGCAGACCCCAAGCAATAATATCAGGTTGTTTCAAAAGTTATTCTATTGCGTAGTAGTATTTACTGATCGATACAACATTTTTTTATTCTCTGAATTGATGATGTTTTTTTTTCGAACATTTGGCAATGTTCGGCGTTGGTTTGCAAAATTTTTGTACCGAAGATTTCAGCTTCGAAAACGAGCCCCAAAGTATTCCATCTATAACAATACAGAACGAGGATTTGGAGACCCTAGTGGAGAGTGCCCCAACACAAATGGAGCGTGGGATGGCGGAAGAACTGTATGTCAGCTCCTATGGTTTTTGATGGTTTAAAATGGGTGGAAAGGTCAAAAAGCTCGATAAGTAGGTGTCCATGATTTGAACGATCGACAGAAATTGTAACGTCTCGAGATCTGCTTTTTCCCAAAGTTTCCAAAGACAAAAACTCACCAAAACGACCATGGTTATACTATATGGTCGTCAGCGACTGTTGTAATTCACTATGACATTTTGCAACCAGGCCAACAATCAGAGCAGAGTCCTACTGTTAGGAAGACGATGAAATGTACAAAAAATTGTGTCAGCAGCTGCCGACAGTGGTGAATAGAGGCCATATTCTGCTCCACGACAACGCTCGCCCGCACGTATTACAAATCACCGTATGAAAATTGATCAAATTGAGCTTCGAAGTTCTGCGTCACCCACCACCCTCCCCAGACCTCTCGCCAATCGATTACCATCTTTACAAGCACTTCGATAATTTTCCACCGGTAGAACCATCGCCAATCAGGATTCGACGAAAAAGTTGACTTCATCTAATCCTGAGTACACGATTCCCATGCTGACGGAATCAATCTACTTGTGTTACGTTGGCAGGAGTGCATCGATTCAAATGACGCTTATTCAGAAGTAGACTCATGAAAACGGACAAAACTTTCGAAATAAACTGATGATACAATTGGGATGACTCAATCAGTGTTCAGTGTTCACTGACTTAAACCAAAAACTGTTTTGATTGGTCTAATCTGTATCAAGATTATTGAGATTTGCCACAAAATTGCTTAGAGTTTCACTCATATTTGGGTACCAACCCAAACAATTTTTCAGCAGTTTTCTTGCAAAACAATGAAAAATACACTCATCACCCGAAGACGATTGTGGATACAAACAATCGAAACGTCGTGAAGTAACTTGGCTTGGAATCTCCTAATTTTTTATTTTTATTTTTTGTTCAATTGCTCTGTTATTACTTGTATTTTGTTTCACTGTTATTTCATCTCAGAGTATTTTTGCTCATTAAAAGACCCGAAGACGATTGTGGATACAAACAATCGAAACGTCGTGAAGTAACTTGCTTGGAATCTCCTAATTTTTTATTTTCATTTTTTGTTCAATTGCTCTGTTACTTGTATTTTGTTTCACTGTTATTTCATCTCATAGTATTTTTGCTCATTATAATTGTTATTTTCAGCTTTTCTTTTTTAATTCTTCTTTTTTATTAGTTCCTTCAGAGATTTCCAATCATTTCATATAATATGAGATAATGGAAGTCCGAACGCATACGGAGATTCCTTCGACTAGAAAGTTCATTGAAGACTTTGGATAATATAGACAGCCATCAAGTGAACAACAACCACACAAACACAACCCTCCCACCTTCAATACATAACTCCGTATTCCTTTGAAAACATATTTCCCTCGCGAGTCATCGAGACAAAATTCTAGACAACAAAGAAAAGTTTGAAGGGCGTCGTATCACTTTCAGTACGTCTCGTCTGCTTGTTACCAAGTAACCCGCCTCAAATTATGTATGGAATGTATTTATTCATTACGTTGTGAGCACGTGGAACGATCCGAATGGTAGAATGAAAGAAGACCTTTGAAGCATTAAGTTGTCCCGGAATAAGCATACAAAATGAAACGTAGTCGTGAATGATTTAAGTTGAACATAATTTTCCCAATGAAGAAGTATAAAAAACCAGTGATTACAAATACTTATACAAATTGGATATAAAAAAAAGCTTTGTAATGTTTGTGATTTCCGGCAAATTTATGTTGTGTGAATGATTATTTTTTCAGTTTCAAGGAATTCATATCATATATACATGTTGATTCAGAAGTATTTAGACGATTGCTAGAAGCCAGAATAAACACATTAATGATTTTCTGATTGATGAAGATCCATAGTAATTCCTGAAACTACACCTCCACAAACTTTATTCGAAAAATATATCAAAACATGTTTCACGAACACAGTAGCTTTATCAGCAGTGATTTGAATACTACAAGTTGCTTCTTACACTAATACTTATACAGGGGTGCGCAAAAGTCCGGAATAAAATTAATATCTTTTTAACCAGTATTTTAGGAAAAAAACGCTGAAACACATCAGTTGATTTCACGTTGTACGCATTTTTTGTCAATGAAATGAAATATTTTTTTTCAACCCCTTAGCTGCAACCCTACCTAACTTTTNTCCCCTACTCTTCTGCATCTCACTATTGCCATTATCTGTTGCGCTCAGAAACACTCGATGGTATAACTGTGGGATATTTTGCATTAAATAAAGTACACACCTCACTTTGACTCCGCATTCTATCCCCACATCCCAACAATATCAAGACTTCGATACGTTGCCTCTCTGACAAGGCCATTTTTGTTTAGCAAATTAAAAAAGAACACTTTGAAGGTACCCAATTAATAAACTTAACATACATAAAATTTTAATCTCACTCAGAAATGCCACAATTTCAAAACTGAGTCAAGACAATAGTTCGTATCAGGGCATTCATTTTGGTACAAAAAATGCAACAACCTTTTTCTCTTCTTGATTTACACTGGTCAACAATTGCTTGGGATGGAACTAATTTTATGTGTAAGTTTTTGGTGAAAAAATAAAATCCACAGAATGTTGATGCTTACGTTGCTGATTACGTTATCAGTTTTACACATAAATCTTAACGTGTGGCTCGGAGTTATTGGGGATGATTTAATTGGGCCTCATTTTCTACCTCCTCGATTAAATGGTGAGGCATAAGTTCATTTTTTAAGAGAAATGCATCCAGTACTGCTGAAAGAAGTTCCTTTGGGTGTCAGGAGGGATATGTTTTTTTTGCATGATGGGGCTCTCGCCCATTTTGGTCAAGTAGTACGTCAGCATTTGACTAAAACATATGCAAATAAGTGGATTTGGGGCCATTTACAGCATTTGGTTAATCGTACTCCTGTTCACGACGTAGAGGACTTAAGAAATCGCATCATCACGGCAAATTTATGTTGTGTGAATGATTATTTTTTCAGTTTCAAGGAATTCATATCATATATACATGTTGATTCAGAAGTATTTAGACGATTGCTAGAAGCTAGAATAAACATATTAATGATTTTCTGATTGATGAAGATCCATAGTAATTCCTAAAACTACACCTCACGATTTGATATCCACAAACTTTATTCGAAAAATACATCACGACATGTTTCACGAACACAGTAGCTTCATCAGCAGTGATTTGAATACTACTAGTTGCTTCTTACACTAATACTTATACAGAGGTGCGCAAAAGTCCGGAATAAAATCAATATCTTTCTAACCAGCAGAAACAAGTCACTTGATTCCACGTTCTACGCATTTTTGGCAATAAAATGAAGTATATTTTTTTCAACCCCTCAGCTGCAACCCTACCCAACTTCTTTTTTTTCAAATGCAAACCTATGTCGTGTATGGGCTCATTGAAGAGCTCGTATAAAATGGATTCTGACCATACTTTTATTTTTTTTGTGGTTACAACGAAATGAGAAAAAACTTTTTTCTAAAATTTACAAATACCTAACTTAGTGTTATCTACGGGTGAATTAACGTAACAAATGCTGAAATTGGCCTCCACCCTCTACTTGGCAGGCTCCTAGGCGATGGTGAAACCCGTTTACGGAATTCCGAATGGCGTCAGCCGGTATGTTGTGTGATTCCACTCTAATTCTGCTTTTTAGATCTTCAATATTAGCCGGCCTATTTTGATAAACCTTGTCTTTCATATATCCCCACTAAAAATAATCTAATGGCGTTAAGTCTGGGGATCTTGGCGGCCATTCAATTGTATCACGTCGTCCATTCCAGCGTCCTATAAATATGTCATCGAAATTTTCTCTGACATTAATACCAAAATGTAGGGAAGCGCCGTCCTGTTGGAACCAAAGTGTTTCAGTAGGGATATCTGGATCTGCTTCATTGGGAAACATAAGAGCTAAAACAGGGACTAACTCAAAGCGTAAAAAGCTAAGTAGCGTGCAGATGTAGGGTTTTCCTCAAAAAAGTATGACCCTAATATTCTATTGTTGATGATGCCTGCCCATACATTTACTTTCTGAGGACGCTGCCTACGAGCTTCGCATATCCAGTGTGGGTTTTTCTGACTCCAGAATCGATAGTTGTGTCTGTTAACTACTCCATGTAAATAAGAAGTAGCTTCGTCCGAAAAGAGTATGTTGAGTGGAAACCCATTATTCTCGTCACATCGTCTCATTATTTCCTCACAATATTGCAAGCGCCTGTCATAGTCATCTTCCAAGAGCTCTTGGACAAGACATATCTTATATGGGTGGTGTTTTTCTGTTTTGGGCTAATGAAACCATTGAAATATGTGAATATTCCTGCAGAGATACGGCAATGTCCAATTTTTGATCTTCGTCTAAAACATGTGGCCGGCCACTTCTGGGCAAGTCCTTCACTGTACCATGTTCTTCAAATTTGTGTAAGATCTTACTCACAGTAGCCTGGAAAATGTGATTTTCCGGATATTTTGCATTAAATAAAGTACAATTGTATGTACCCCTTTCAAGGGGCTGTATCTTAACAAGGGATGCTCCAATGAAGTTTCTTTATATGAAAAATCCTATCTTCTTTTCGATGAGGAATCACCTCCCTGAATGTTTTACACTTATTCAGTTCACCATGTATATTGGTCAAATTGGCAGAACATTTAGGAATCGAATCCAGGAACATCATATGAGCTATGTAAATAAGAAAACAAGTTGAACATATTCAAATCATCTTTCAGAAGAAAATCATATCTTTAACGAAAAGTTCGAAATTTCACACATAGAAAATATAGGTTTGAAACTGAATCATTTGGAAGCCATAAGAAATAATTAACCCAAAAATTCAGACATTCTAATAATTGACCAACTGGATTTGAATAGATTACCATTATTGAACTTGTTTTCCTAGAAAAACCGATCACGAATTATTATTGAGGTAATATGCTTCAGATGTTTATATTTGACGAGGTTCTTCAGGTAGAGGTTTAGGTAATTTGCCATAAATTGAAAAATATCGATTATTACAAGAATACAGTTTTTGATACTTAGTTATATTCCGTCATTTATGTGTGAAAAAAATAACGTTCTATCAACAATATAGAATCAAAAACTATTCCATGAATTCTATTCCTAGCCAGTTCTTAATTCTGCTATATCCCGATCACAAATCATAGAACGTCCACGAGTTAGGAAAATACCAACTGCAAGAGCCCGTTTACACATTTTACAGTCCGACCGACCAGCGGCCGTTTCGAATCCATTTGTATTCGACTAATCGGCAAAGCTTCTCCAACGTAGCATTATCATACCTTCGGAATAAATCATTGTACTGCGTCATGGATTTCTTCGGCTCATTGGGCACCACTATAGAGTCCACTACTGGTCCGAATCTTGTCTTGTAATCGGGAGTGATTGCACTTGCAGCCATGATTTCGTCGAGGCGCTTCCTTCTCAGACACTCCGCAAAATCGTCGTGTATTTGACAGTTGAGTGCTTTCGATACTTGATATGTTACTCCTGTCGGATTGCCGGCCAGTGCCCAATCAGACAGGGCCGTTCCGCCCATCAGGATCGCTCGGTGGAATAGTCCTGTAAACGAATAATGGTGTCAGGTGAAGGATAAAATTGGAGGTTCAGATAAAGAGGGGCTTTTGCGATAACGTACCATTGTATTTTTCGTTTTTAGGAATTGTTGACTGGTGTTTGTTTGGAGAGAGTATATCCAACATTTCGTCAACATTAGTGATTGACATCTTCAGGAGTGCCAAGACGATATTACTAAAAACTAGAGTTTCCTGACCTCCAAAGTTCATGTACTCCTGTAGAAGCCAACAACTGGAGTCAACAAAAAAATGGAAAACTCACTCAAAGTGAACGATGGTCAACAATCAAGAGAAATGGCAAATTCAACAAAACGTAATGCTTCGATAGGTCACTAAACTCCCAGTATTGGTTTAGGTGTGATTTGACTTACATCTTGTATAAAAAGTACATCTATCAACATTATTTATTTCTTTGTTAAATTCTTTGATATTTTTTGTAGATTTATGATCAGAAATTTGCATTATACCACTTCCTTATCGCTCGTATGAGTACTTCTTGAAGCAAAAATTTGAAAATATGAAAATAGTAATTCGAATATTTGAAAGAGTCAGTCAAATCAAATCCTCTCAGTATCATGAAGCAGGTGCAAAATCGATGACGATAAGCGATAGTATTTACGCTGATCTTGTTCAATAGTATACTATCAATCTCCAAAATATTATTAATGAAACAATCCATATTTGTTTTGAAGACAAACCATATACACCTCTGTTGCTGGCGTGAATTTTCAGATTGATTTCAAGATGCCAACTGAAAAAGTTCAAAGGAACCAGTATACTCCTCAAAAGATATTTACTTCCACGATATTCTTCAAAAATTGTAGTGCCTTTGCTTATTGTGACCAATTTTATTTTCGATATCTATATACATATTATCTTTATGATGATTGTTGAATTGAAAGTTCATTGGTGACGATACTAATGCGACGAATTCTTCATCGCAATTGTCTAATGATAATAGCCCTGGAATATTCAGTGCGAATCGAAATCTTTGAAAATTCTTCTGATTTTTTCAACAATTCATCACTAGACCATTTATTTGTTCCTTCTGATTTTATCAATTCAATGTGACTATACCATTTGTTCCTTCTGAATATCAATTCAATGTGAAAATCATGTGAACTTACAATTTACTTATTTCAGTCGTATGTTCTAGTATCGGTTTTAGGCTTATTCACAGTTTATTATTTCCACTGAAGTCCTGAATATTATTAAAAATAACATGAAACTCAAATTTTGCCCAGACATTACTTAATTCTCAATTGAATTTACCGCATATTTGTGTATTATCTTGTTCATTCACTATAACCCCATGAAATATTGAAGCTCGTGAATTACATTTTGTTTAAGAACATAAAACAGTGTAATCATTATCATTCTCACTATTGAAGTTGTCTCTTCATCAACAGACTTATCAGAAGCTCATGAATTATTCAGTACAACTTTGTAAATAAAAACATGGTCATTGTTCTGCGTAATGAAATATTTTTCCAAGCGGATCTCTGAATTTGACACTTTTATAATCACATACGGAAAAAATAGATATTGGTTGAAAATATTTTGCTTTGCAATAGGCATATAAGGGCAATTTTTGTAGGAACAAATCACCTATTTTGAGTGTGACTGTTCGCTTACATTATAAAATTCACTCAAACTTGGAAGGGCGCAAAATATGAAATACTAATGCACATAAGATATGTGTTATATTTCCCATTAACGCAGTTACGCTGAATCAACTGAAGGAACAATTCGTTGAGGTCAGTCTCAACTCCCTACACTGCAGGTAAATGAACTGGCACTCACCAGAAACCAACTACTTCCTTTCACGTTGAAACTACCTCGTAGTGACACGTGACCAAACAGTACGAATCCGGTCTGCAAGTATGTTTCAATAAATGAAAATCGATTCCTACGGTTGTATCGCCAACAGCAGGAATAAATTCAGTGAAGAATCTTGCACTGACACCTGTCGAATAAAATCCAACGGCCTCTGTGGTATTAGTCAGGGGAGTAGTTGATAGGTGTAAGTTCATTAACCTACAGTGTAGGGGATTGAGACTGTCCTGAACGAATTGTTGCCTTAGATGATTTGATTTATAGTATGCCCACTGACTATATGTGGAAAGTTTTCTTTCGTTATACGAGGAATTGGAAAAATTTCGGATATGCGGTTGGTTACCTCGTTCACAGGCAGATGGGGCGATGATAAACCCTCTGTTTGTTGTCCGCTTCAAGCTAGTTCGAGAAATGATGCTCTGAAGGAATTCGATTTTCAGTTATCGGAAATCATCGACTAACGAGTGGCCAAGTGTGTTCCAATAATTGAAAATATATTGCGGCAATTGTATCGCGAACAGCATAGGCAGGAATAACTTCAGTGAAGAAACCTGCACTGCTACCTATCGGATATAATCCAACACCCTTCGTGGCATTAGCCAGGGGCGTAGTTGTTTTCTGATTGGTGTCACCATTCACCTACAGTGTAGGGAGTTCAGACTGGCTTGAACGAATGGTTCTATTGGAAGATTTGATTTATAGCCAGTCTTCAAGTATGCACACCGGCTATATTTGATCAGTTACGCTAAGGGTAAGCGCACACTACAGACTTTTTATCGGCCGATAGTTTAGTTAGATGCTTATTAGTATAGAATCGTAATGTGAGGCCGCACATCTAAGCGATTCCAGTCGGCCAACTGAATAAACAGAAACAAGTTGGATAGGCTTTCCAATTCTGATTCAATTACAAAGTTGGACAACTATCGGCCGAGTTCTAATCAGACTGTGTCTCTATGAGTGTGCGCAGACTCATCAACTAAACAGTCGGTGCCTGCAGACTCCTCACTCTACATCCCATCGTTGATATCTGATATCAAATATTATCTAGTACCTACTTTATCTTAGCGTTTTAATTACTTTTTTTTCATAATTATGTCGAATATTGCCGAATGTTCAGTGGAAAATTCAATGGCGGAAGTTAACTTTTTGAGGGGCAGAAAATTTTACCAAAAAAAGACCGTAGTGGAGCAACAAAAATTTTATTCATAATTTTTTATGAAATGTATGTTGATTAATAAGGTATGCGTAACAAACATAATGGTAACTTTTTTCCAAAATTGCACTGATTGCTTCTGACTCATGGGATGGTACAAATAAGGTACCATCAAGCCATCCAGTAAGAAAAATTTCATTCTCTTTGGTTAATTATCCTTTGGAATTATTGGACATAATATGGAACAGTGTTACATTTTCTGAATTATTTTGTACAAAATCGGCAACATCAGAAAAACTTTCAAAATCTAGAGGTGGAGTTGGTTTACAAGTATTTAGCCAAGTTGGTGGTGTATAAGGTACAGCAACATTTGGGTCGGGAATATGAACAGGGTTAGTATTGACAATTATTTCCCTTATCGTAGATAGAGGTAAATCAGATTCAAACCCATCACTTTCGAAACTTTCATCATTGTCAATTGCAACGGGGATATTATCTGCCAAGCCTTCGTCATGGAAGGCATCAATCACAGATTCGCAATCAGACCGTATAGGTTCTACGTCTTCATCCACAATAGTATCAGGTCCTTCCATCTTATTGTATAATTCTTCTAAAATATTTCCAACTAAATTGAAAGGTAATTCATCCTTTCTGAGCCTCTCCATGTTATCGGAAAAATGACATCATAAAAGTTTCAACCGACGCGGTGGTACACGAAAGGTACCACAACAATGAATTGTTTATGTTTACTTGTAATGTAATAGTTTTAGTTTTGATGCTAATGACACTTACTTCAAACATTAGCTATCCAATTTTCCTCAATTATTGCAAAAAAAACTAATTTTTTTCATACAATAAGACCACTAAACAAAGCACATCAGTTGAATATACAAAGTTTTGAGGTTAGTGGCTGCAACACGCGACCAAATCTGTAACCAACTGTTGTGAATTACGTCTACCGTGCATAAGATGGCAAAACTACAGTGGTTCTGAAATAGGATCACTGCAACCAGACAATAGCTCTGTTGAGAAGGTGGTACACTTTATTTACCACCGCCACCAAGCGTGGTGGTACATGGTGGTTTATTCTATGCACCGTGGTTGCCTAAAGAGTTAAAAGGTGACCTGCATTATATAATGAAGCATTAAAAGAATATTTCGATGTTATTATTAAAAAGAAACTATGGGATGAAGTTTGTGCAATTGTTGTTCCTGCATGGGGTGAAATGGATGCTGAAGACAGAGGAAAACAAGCTTTCCTCGATAACATCCTTCGATACTTTCAATACAACGCACCAAAATATTATATACATCAACAACTGTTTCAGTTGGTGGTCTGCGCACCTGCACCGAACCGAACAGTTTTGTTTGAGTAGTGTGCCCCCACCCAACCCAATCAGACTAAACTATCGGCCGATAAAAAGTCTGTAGTGTGCGGTTGCCCTAAGACAGATTCTTCCATTCTATTATGTTCCATACACTGACTATAATGCTTGTTTTGGAGTTTATTTCAGTTTCTCGATTATTGACATCTGCATTTTGAATAAGTTTGAAGTTATATAATTTCAACTGTTTCTGTGAAGAGACTATTGCTTTGAATGTGATGTATGGTTCCGGATCAGAGATCTGAAGTTAGGATTGTAGAGAACACATATTTTTGTTTGAAAAATACAAAAGAGCTTGTAGTTGCAGTCACGAAGTGGATTTTAGTGACATTCGAGCAAAAATGCAAAACTCTCTAGAGCCATCTTTCATCGAATCATCAATTTTGACAAACAGGTAGATGATAAAAGACTACTAAATCGCAAAATCTGTTTCCCACCTTGTATAACCCCCAACTCCCTAACCCCAACATGTCACCTACTTTCGTTTCCCTTCAGAATCATGGGGCTGATCATGAGAAGGCTGGCACAGACCGCGCCAGTCCCATGTCCGAACAAGGTGACAGAATTGATGTCTCCCCCGAAGGCCTCTATATTGTCCTTGACCCACAGCAGGGCGGCTATCTGGTCGACGAGGCCAAAGTTGCTCTTCGAATCGAGTTCGGTCCCTGCTTTCAAGAAACCTACGAAAAAAAAAATATCATCAAGAGAGCGAAAAATGTTTCGTTTTGGAAAGGATGTGTAATATTCTGCAAAAATAAAAACGAAATTAATGGTATATGACAAGAGTTAACAATAATAAATAAAGCGACATTTTCAGGAGACATCATGATATAGGGTGATAGAAATACAAATCATTTTTCCACTTCTACGAACAATTATATTGTATTCTGTACATTACACGGTGTTTTCAATGAAATGCAATTGTTTTGTTCAAAATGGTGGACTTGCAATTTGACAGTGGTAATAAAATACTAATCGCCGTTTTTGTTATCGAATGAGTGATAGATCAGTAACATTTCTTTCATTAAGATTTATGACAATGGCAGTAACAGATGTGAATGTGCTGTTATTTCAACAAGATTGAACATGTGGTGCACTGTTTGGAACCTTCAGTGTAGTAATGAATTTTGCTGGCCTTTATTCCCAACACCAAACCGTTCTTTCAACAGTTCGACACGTGTTTCGATCACCAAGTAATCATCTTCAAGAGGAAAATCAAACGAAACATACTTACAAAGTTATCCTTACTCATACCATAGATACCTTTTCTAGGTACCTGCCTCTTAAGTGTCTTGAATTAATTTCTCAATATTGCCTCATCTACTAGTCTAAAATTGATTTTATACTGTGTCCTCATGTAATAGTCAGGTAAATCCAATGATTAAAATATTATTTCAACAAGCTATATAGTATCTTATTATGTTAACTTTTCTAATTAATCTAGACTTCAGTTAATTAGGACTAGTTAGACAAGTTAACAACAACAGGCATCTAGATGGCTATGAGAGTGTAGAAATAAGGTAACAATAATATTATGAAAAACGATGGTGGACCAATACCTAATAGTATACTATAAAGCTTGTTGAAATAATATTTTAATTATCATATTCACATCGTCACAATAATGGCATAACAAAAAGAGAGAATAAAATTCTGGAAATATGCTCAAAAACTAACTCTCAATATAAAATTCGACGGTCTCGAACCATGTCTTGCTGAACGTCAACTATAAGGAATCAACTTTGTGTTGGTCTACCCGATATATAAACCAGAACCATAGAAAAATCAAACTGAACAATCGTCAGGTAATCATAGAGGTAGGTGGGGAGGAAGGGAAGTTACAGACGCTGATGCTTTACGTTACAAAGCGGTTCAACCTCACATAATAAATATGATGGAATTGGGCGATACTGGATGAAAATCCATAACTAACGTATTCAGAAACCACTTTATTATGAGATTTCCATTGATCAGAAGTTATCACTTGAAAAATCAGAGCCAGACCGAAACATGTATACCTACTTTGAGTTCTCCTTAATTCATGTTGTTTTTAGCCTGAGTAGTTTTATGCGAACAATTTTGCTGTTTATTCATACAAAGAGTATGACTTTAAAAGGATATCAGGATGTGCAACTGGAATTTTCATTACCTCGAAACCAACATTCATTCTTATAGTGAAGAACAAAGTTTGGTGGTCGAGAGAATTTCTCTCAGTTTGTTTGTGTTTCAATTCCTCTTTCAAACCCTACTCAATTTCTCATATATTCATTATGGATTTTATTTTCTCTCATTTTGGAGAATAAAAGAACTTTAGTGAGTCCCTAGACAATCACAAACATTCCCTTCAATATAACTTCAGTTATAAATAATTCAAAACTACCGACCTTAACGGAACATCCCAATAAACACCTCATGATAAATATATTCCCCCAAGAAAAGCTCTGAAGTGTGGAAGAATCCAGGACGAATAACGGCATATTTTAAGTCGACCGTTGCCATCGCGTCTGCGGTTGACTATGATGTAATAAAACCTGCCTAGGTGTTGTCCGAAAATCCTCCGACAACCTGTCACTTTTATCATCGCGACATAAAAGTGCGCTAGATTCCATCTCAACCGCTGGCTGAGAAGCCTCCTTTGTTGTTCTGAAAATGTTTTTTCTCCACCGCGACTTGATTTTTAGGAGGAAAATTTATTTTCCGCGACTTCAAACTAGAGGGTCCATTCACGACATGGTTAGTCCAACCATTGATTGTAAAATTGAGCAAAGATGTATGATTTTGACAAGCAGCACCGATTCGCACAAACATTTGGAATTAGATTCTACTCCAAAGTTGGGTACCTTTATCCTAGGGGTGGATGCCGCCCCTTATCGAAGGTGGAATGTGTTTCATTGGAAGTAGCTAAGGAGATAGATAAACTGATTTTTATCAACTTGTTCTATAGTTTTTATATAAAATAAATTAGTATATATTATAACAAAATAAAAAACAAGCTTCAATTGAAAATTGTACTTTTGATGCACTGTTTGCACAAATTGAACAATTGATGAGAAATGAAAATTTCTCATCAACCAAGTTACTTCACGACTTTTTGATTATTAGTCTTCGTCTTTGGGTGACGACTGGTCTTATTTCTCCAAGAGATGACTATTTATAGGTCATTTGAGTGCTTTCACCTATCCCCTCTTACCGCTTTGTCGGTTTAGTGCATTGCCGAGCACAAGAAACACACACAGCGAGGAGGAACCAGCAAATCTGGAAATGCAGAGTATGTTTGAACTCATCAACATAATACAAATGATCCCAAGCTGGGATCATCCACAGGGAGGAACCCTGGTTCAGGAGGCAATTCAAAGAGGCTGCATATATGTTGTCCAACAACGCATTTAACCAAGCTAGCGTAGAAATACGCAACATATAGAAACCCATGATTGAGCGGAAAACGGCCAACTCTCGCGAAACGGTCAGCTCGCGCTAAACCAGGAAGAGGGGATAAGTGAAAGCACTCGAATGACCTACAAATAGTCATCTCTCGGAAAAATGAGTACCATCATCCATGATTTGCATCATATTTCCAATATTAGAGTTGCGATTGAGACGTTGATACGAGAGCATTGACGAGAAAGTAGTGACAGTTCACAGTTTATAAACCGCTATCCACTAAAGTCTTTAGGTTGATACGCGATACAATCTTACAGATGGAGGAAATTTTGAAAAATATTCAAAATTTCGGAAAGAAATACCCGAGAGATGCAATACTTGCATTAATAGATGCGATATTAGATCGGTATGATATTGAGAGTATAGAACGGGCAAGATCATACGAATACTTCGAAAAAGTAATGGAATTAAACCTCAGAAATCGCAATCCAAAGTAATACCAACTCTTTGAGGCATTGCCAAAAAACGACATTCTCTCGGACGAAGAAGGAACCCAAGAGGAAAAAACACCTCAAAAACGAGCAGCCACACCGAAGCTCCCCGGCGAGAAGCCAAAAAACACGGCCAAAAAAGAAACCAAAAAGTTCCGAGACTGACCGGACTAACAAACAAAAGACCCCTGACATCACACCCGGTACGTCACAGCAACCGGGTGACTTGGCGGAAGACCCCAGACAAAAGGCTGCTCAGGTAGCTCAGGTAGGCCAGACGGATAACACCCGAACAAAAGAAGACCCTCCTATACCCGAACAAATGGATTTAGGCGACGACCCCAAGGTAGAGGATGCTCCGGCAACTCACCAAGGCGAAATAAAGAAATAAGCTAACAGACCTCCACCAATAACTATTCGTGCTAAAGAAAAGTGGAAGCAGTTCAATACGATCGCAGCCGCCCAAAACAAAACAATTTTGAAGGCGGTAAACACTACCGACGGGATCAAGGTTCAGCTGAAAACCTCTGATGAATACAGAAAAATAACGCGAATCCTGGATCGCGAAAAAATCTCGTATCACACCTACACGGTACAAGCAGATAAACCATTAAGAGTAGTTTTCCGGAGAGTCCCGGAATCCCTGGAAATAGAAGACATCACGACATAATTGCAAGGGAAAGGCTTTGAAATCCTTTCCATCGCTCGCATGAGCAAAACAAATAAAACACCGATCCCGTTCGTGTTAGTCCTGGTTACCCGAAGCCAAGCCAACATTTACGAAGTAAAGGAAATTCAAAGCGAGCGCGTAGGCACCGAAACTCAACGTCCCAGAAACAGAACAGGACAGAAGTTCTACAGGGGTCAGAAGTTCGGGCACACACAGCGGAACTGCAAAGCAGTCCCAGCCTGTATCAAGTGTGCCGGACGATACCTAACAAGCGAGTGCAAGAGAACGAAAAACTCGCCCGTGTGATGCTTCATTTGCAAGGGCGAGCATCCAGCTAGCTCCTACGGGTGCCCAGAATGCCCCGAGAATAAAAAAAGGCCTCAGATGGGCCAAATGACGGACGACAGCCCCCAAATCCGAAGAGTGCCAGAAAAAAACACAGTCAGAAGTCTCTTATGCGAGGGCCGCATCTCCAACAGAGAACTCCTGCAACTCTCCCGATGGTCTCCCAATGGCCCTAGGGCAGTTGCAGAAGATTCTTGCGAAATTCTCGGTTCTGCAAACTATGCTTGCCGGTATGACAAAAAAAAAACAGAAGAACGCTGCCACTTCTGCAACAGGGCTACAAGCCTAAGAAGACGACAGAGGCTCACCACTGTCACCCTATCACATAATAAAAAACAGACATAAATTTCAATTAGCTGAAAGGATAAGGGACCCGTTGCCCAACATCTGAATGACGCAAGACAACGAACAGAAATAAGTTCAGTCATCACGAGAAGACGATTGTGTATACTAACAATCGAATCGTCGTGAAGTAACTTGCCTTTAAATCATTTAATTGTTCAATTTTAAATTGTTACTTGTATTTTATTTCATTGAAATTCCATTTCAGGGTATTTTGATTTTATTGCTTCTTTCAATATCGAAGTGGAGTAGAACAAATTAAGCATTCCTAACACCGTGACATGTAGATACAAATGTGATCTCGCTCAGACAAAATTTTTCCAAAATCTATCGGTTACCCGGTCGTTATGGCACCTAAATTCCAGTGTTGTTATTTTCATCGTTCCTTCCCTGGAATTATTTCGTCATATAAAACGTCGAGGGCGTCTCGTGGCGACATCTTAGTGTGGATCGACCATAACGTATACCTTCGAGCATTCCTTTTGAGGCTTGCTTTCTCCTGATAATATTATGAACTCTGAAACGACGAGAGGACTAATATAATACATTCAGAGATATTATAAAGCCGGAAATGTTATTGCAGGTGCAGCATAGCGAACAAACCTATGAGAAAGCTTCCTGAATGCATTTAGAAATGAAGGAATGAAATTTTGTACAGTTATCGTGATTTACATTTTGGGATGGATTCGGTAAAGGAACGACAATTTTACGGTCACCGAAAGAAATAGAATCATTCTGAGCATAAAAGATTCGAAATCACTTTTATTTTGGTAGTTTATCTCTCACAGTGGTGGGTGTTCACTTCCTCCAAAAACATATCCAAGACATATTTGGAGTTAATGTTTGTTTTCCAGTTCTGGATACGATGAATAACGGTCTTTTTTTTTCTGAAATACTTTCGACGGTAGTTGTATGACCTTATTTTGGTGATATAAAAATCACATATTTTGCATAACATGGCTGAATTGATTATGATGATTACTTCAAATGATAGAAAAAATTAATACAATGTGATACAAAATGAACGATATGTTGCATCAGAAATTGATTTACAACAAATCACAATAGCAATAAAAGTTTCTCATTTTTATCATTTGAAAGGTTGGTAGTGTAGCCTCCTGGAACCCAGCGTCCACTGAGTTGGACATATCGTTTTTAATCCATGTTAAACTAATCCTATAAATAGCGACTTATAAACCTATTGTACAACTCATTGGACATGTATGCTGTCGCCATCTAGTACCGAATGTGTGATTCTCACGAATAACTTGCGTGCAGACTGCTATTTATGCAATGGCGTCATTTAAAAGAGCAACGTATGATGGTAAGTACCAATTTCTTAGTTCGTCTTAATTATCATTTGAATATTTTTGCATAAAATACTGTACCAACACCTCTTTTATATATTTTTTATCAAAAACATTGTCAAAGTAAATGAATTATTCTATAAGATGTCTATTTGTACAATGTCCAATAGAATGGACGTGCGGACTCAAAGCCGAATTCTTGGGTTTAATCCAATCCAATTTGTTGGACATTGGTACTCTGAGATGTATCTTTGTAAAACATCTGAAGTACTGATTTTATTATTTTCAGCAATTTTTGGCCATCGAAAACATTTAATACCGACTGAAGATGATGATAAACTTTTGCAGTTATTAGAATGTGATTCGGATTTAGAACAAGAAGTAGGTGACTGCCAAAATTATGAGAATGAAGACATTGACAGTACTGATCAGATGAAGATGAACAGAACTTGGATGAGAATCCAGAAAATGATATAGTTGAGGAGTTAGAGTATGAATACGAGGAAGAAAAAGAAGAACAAAATCACCAAAGCGACTATGACTCAGATGATAATTTACNTTAACATTATAGAGATTAAAGCATCTCTTGAAACAATCTCAATTCCGTTTTGTCGTATTCTTCTTTTCCAATTGTTGACCCTGTTATGAATCATTGTTAACTTTGTTCCGGCTGAGTTTCGCAAAGAAAGTAAGTTCTAGAGGACTGAACTGAGCACTGTTTGATTAATTTCTTCTATTGTTTAGGAATTATGGGTCATATACTGAATTATAATCTCCACTTTTCTATATGACTCAAAAACGGCTATCAACAGTCGCGATCTGAAATTGTACTTTCAAATAGGAAATAAATGAACGATTGTCCACAATGCAGGCGTCTACACAGAAGTCGAAAAAGGAACCAATCCACTTTGTCCAAATTTTTGGCAGAAATAAAACGGCTACCGTAGTTGCATAATGCAAAAAGAGGCCAGATTGAGCCTAAAATGCTCCAAGACAAACTTCAAGAACCCATTCAGCTTCTTGGAAAGGACAAGTTCTCTGCATTTGATGTGAGAGTCCATGTAAGGAGTGGAGGACATGTTTGCCAAATATATGCTATCAGGCAGGCGATATCCAAAGATGTAGTAGCGTACTATTAAAAATATATCGATGTAGCATCCAAAAAGAAATTGAAGGACATCTTGATCCAAATCGATTGTCGTCGTTGCGAGCCCAAGAAGTTTGGTGGTCCAAGTGCCCGTGTCCGGTACCAAAAATCTTACCGTTGAGCAGTTAGGTGTAATGTTGTGTGTTGAAATCAAAATTTGTAGAAACGTAGAGGAAAATACTCCGAGCAACATACTGAAATTACTAAGGACATGGGTATATAGCTTAGGGTAGGAGTAATCTCTAAAAGTTACTCCACCAAAAAATGTTTATTCACTCAACTGATTTGCACAATTTTTTTTACAAAATGGATCTATATACTTCCCCGCTGCGATCAGAATTCTAGGGTATATTCTGGAAAACAGTTTTTGAAATCGGGTTTTCATGATTGAAATACAAGTTTCAATATTGATTGACATATATGTCACGTGGCTGATGTTCCATAGTTCACATAGAATGAACAGGAAGTACATTCAAAGCATGTGGAAGAGAACATACAAACAGTTTCCAGCGGTGCACTCGCTGTACTATCCCTTACTGGTGAGTCATGATATAAATTAGGTTATTCAACAGGGAAAAGGAAAAAATACGCGATATCACAGCCGAGTTCAATAACTAGACGTGGTGAGAGAGAAACAATAACACCGTCGAGGGCATTTGTCGACCACTTTTGTTATCTATAACTGATGAGTTTGGAAGAAAAACCTTGTTGAGTTTTGAGTGAAAGTGTTGGTGGAGTTCTGAACCACCTACCAAGGCTATACTATAAAAATACAAAATTTATTTTACTAGCATGACTGGCTCAATAACTCAATATTTTTTACTGCATGAGTGTCTCTATTTTGACTATTTCCAGCACAATTTATGATTTTTTTTACTGAAGCTTGGAATTGAGAATATGAATATATTCAGGGTTTATTTGCGTATTTTATATTTTCGCAAGAAATAAATGAACTTTGTAATCTCAAATAGAAGAGCTGTATTAGAGACCAAACTTGTCAAGTATTTTCTTACCAAAGATTTTATTTGATCAGTTTCTATGCCAATTGATCAGCAAGAACGTTTCAGGAAACACATTATTACTCATTAATTTTCCTAGGAATTTCGTCATGTGATTTCGTCAAATACATTCTTATCAACCGAAAAATAAATATCATATCCCAGCTCTCAGATAGGATTATTATATGTTAACGATTCAGAAATAATACCATATTAGCTTCATTTGTCTAATTTGACAATAGATATTCATATTGAATGATGATGATGGGATCTTTCTTGAAAGATGTTGTTAATTAGATTTGAGAAAATTCAGGGGTATTGAAAACAATTAGAAGTGATTTTGTTCATATCAAATTTAATATCTATGAAGAAATATCAAATATTATTTTCATCACAAAAATGCCCACCATGTACATCTGGAAGTAATTCAGCGATGTTGCNTTATAGATTCTTTCAGGGATTTCAAATCAATTTATATCATATTAGACAATGTAATTCCGAACTAATATAATGTACAACAAGGTGTTATGTGTTGCGATTTCGTAAATTGTATGTATTCGCAATTGAATGATCCTCGCTCGCAAGGAAAGAAAGGTCATTCCACGAACTCTTTTCTTTGCTTAGCTATTCGCAAGGCTTCGTTATTATTTTCGTTTGGTACAAAAATGAAGTTTCACATCTCTCACAGAGATATATCTGAAACTGTTGTCGTTTCCTAGCTTGATTCTCATTTCGTATATCTGGTGACGTCATCTCTCTTTCACCATCATGATGAGCCCATTGAATGAAATTAGTTATTTTCATCCTAACATAGATGTGAAACGGACATATACATCACACATACTCATACTCACCCAATATTCCTAGTCTAAAGTTGATTGTGACAACAATGACCTGGCCATATGCAGCGAGGACACTTCCATCGTACGGGTTTCCTGAATTCCACTCGAAAGACTCGCCGTGAATGAAGACCATAACAGGATATCTCCTTGAATTGGTGATATTGCCTAAAAAAAAAAGATGCATTCTCATTATTGAAGGTACTGATTTATTTACTTGAGAAACAAGATATAGGCCTATTTTTTTCCTTTTTTTTCTGATTGATTCGGCCGTTACTTGAAAATCCATAGTAATTTCAAAAACTACACCTGACGATTTGATTTTCACAAACTTCATTTGCTAAAACATAAGCTTTTTCAAGTGATTTATACCTATATATACCTATATACGTATAAATCACTTGAAAAAGCTAATGTTGTAGCGAAACATGTTGTAATATATTTTTCAAATAAAATTTGTGAAAGTATCTCAATGTGGACATTTTTGGGCTTCCACCAGATTGTTTATCTTCTTGGTTACCAAGTAAGGTCCTTGCCAGGATCTCTGCAACTCGAGACACAAACCTTTCCGTCCATGAAGTTAGTAGAGCCACACTGCATCGCCCTGCTTGAAGCTCACTGGCAGCTACTTTCTGTGAAATATTATTTTCATCCTGTCGTTGGAAAGCTGTAATTTTAATGTGTATAAGACTGTGAAGGCCATTCTTGCACTGCAAGGACACAAAGTGTCCCAAAAAAATCACCTTTTCTGGAAAGAGACAGTTGAGCTGCATATGAGCATTCCGCAGCTTCGTGAACACACTCTTCAAGTTTGACAGATGTTCGTCAAAACTTTTTTCGGTTATCTAGATGGACCAAGCATGTTTTCTAGGTGAGTCTTCTCGAAACCAACTCCATCAAGCGTTCGAATGTTGCAGGTGCAATGCTTAATCTGGACTTCGTAAACCCAAACTGGTATAATTCATTGCCGATGAAAAAGGCAGTCTTCTATTTATCCAAGGGGCGAACAACCACCTGGCGATATCAGATTTTGGGGTCTAATGTTGGGAACCATCTGCATCCAGCCAAGATGTTCAGGGTGTCAATTATTCTGGAAAAAAGGTAACTGTCCTCTTTGGTGACATCATTAAGCCTCCTGTAGTCGACGCAGAATCTCGTCGATCCATCTTTCTCAATCACCAACACGAGAGGTGACGACCAGTAGCTGTTTAATTCCTCGATTATTTTCTCCTCCAATATGCCTTTGAAAAAGGGGGCAGCTCCGTCTTGCTTTGCTGAGGGAAGTCGTCTCGGTGGTTGGCGTATGGGTTTGCCATCACCAGTATTGATCCAATATTGAAGTAAATCCTTTCGACCAATGATTTTGTCCTTCAAAAATATAAATTTCTTTTCCTCTAGGAATCTGGTGGCCTGGTATGGTTTTTCTTCAGACAGATGGATCCACGCCTTCTTGAAAGGGTCGATGAGTTCCCTTGTAGGTTGCTGAACCTGGTGGTTCAGCAATTACCGCTTGAATGGTTTTCTCGTTGTTGGGAGAGATTCTAGAATCTTCCAGTATAACCACTTTGGCGCTGTCGTGAAGCGAAGACAGCACGTCGAGCAAAATTGCCTCATTTCCAACCCCTCAATAGTATGTTCCTTATGTTCACCACGAATCCGTAGGGGGATATGATATCTGGTCCCAAAACGGATTCGTCGACAATATTGGCCACTGATACCTTAGTTTCTATTTCGCAGTTTCCAAGCGTTAGTCTCATTTCAACTTCTCTAAAGACTGTCAATCTACCTCCAGTGACTGTTTCCAGAACCGGTACCATCGATAACTTCTTCAAACTATTTCTTTTGGAAGTGAGGGCTCCCGTTACTGATGTCGTTGCTCCAGAATCGATGGTGAAGAGGCCCTGATGATTTTTCAAAAATTGTCAGCAACTAAGCTGTTACTGTTGCGTCCTATCATGGAAATCGAATACCTGGGCGCTTGGGATGTAGCAGCCAATGTACCCTCCTTAGTTTTCTGAGCCACCGACGCTCTAGTTCAGATAATCCCGAACTTTCTTTTGTTGTTGGATGTTAAGTGAGATAGATAGTCCCGTCATAAATGAATTTTCCCTGCCGCAGTTATAACATTCAGGCCATCCTTGGGCGCAATATCATTCAGAAAATATTTCTTTAGAAATTCCTCTAAACCTACCACGAGTCGATCTATTCGTATGTCTTCCTTTTTTTTTGATGACAATCACTGTTGTGGAATTGGCCGCGGTGGTAGTGTGCCCGACTCACGATCGGAAGACCGTGGGTTCGATTCCCGCCTCGACCTGATATTTTTCTCGATAGAATTTATCTGGTTGAAGCTGGAATTATTCTGCAACCGTGTTAGGAATCACACGTTGAAAGGTAAGACCTCGTTAGTCCTTAGCTCGCAGAAGTTTCTCAACTTTAGAGAGTTGTCGTTTGTATGGAGGTGACAGCTGATTAACGAAAAAACAGATTTTTAAACAGAAAACTTTTCGTTGTTGTCGCGGAGCACTTTTGGCAGCTTCAAATTCATAAATGATGGCTTCGTTAAATTTTTTATGACGCGTCATCTTCAGAGACTGCTGCAGCTCCATGTCACGAATCCCGTCGATAAAATTATGGACGCTAATGCAGTGGCTAAAGTTATCATAGTCGGGAACATCGAAGAAAGTTTGGAGATTTGTCCCAATTCTACAGATACTTTCACGGAAAGTGTTCAAGTGAGTTGGCACATTTGATTTCACCAAGAGCGGTACATATCAGAAATACGCGACGGACTGTGGCTGCTCATCGTTTCGAGGTTCAACTCAGTACACCTCGAACTTCACTGTTTAAAAACTCTTCCATTTTGAGAACAGCGTTTATGTGGAATAATCTTCCTGAGAATGTTTTTCCAAAGGAATATAATCTCCAGGGATACAAATCCAATGTGAATCGCTACTCTCATACAGGCACCGCTTTAAAAGCGCCATAAGTGCTTGTGGTTTGTTCTTCAAAACAGAATCGATAAAATTTCAGCGACATCGACCAAAAAAGTTGATAAGCAGTCATAGTTATCAGCAATGACTATTCCATTTTAAAAAAACATAATCGATGCTTTTTCAGAGAAAGACTGAAGAAACAATAAACTAACTATACCTACATTATTTTTATATAGATGTTCAATATTTGACGCAAAACGATCGAATACAAAAACGAAACCAAAATCCCTCAACATTTTTCTTATAAAAGATGATATAAAATGTAATATAATAGAGGCTGCACGGCTACCCGAGCATGGTCTCGTAGGCTTAGGGTCTGGTTGATTAATTCTCATATTTATTGCTCTACCTTTTTATTACCTGGATTATGATTTAATAAAATACGGTTTTTATTTACCATCGTTCGCATTCTGACCGCATCTTACATAATGATTTTGAGAGTAAATAATGCCGTAGTGGGATAATTGTATTCAAAACGGTTGAAACTTCCTATGACTCACATTTTTCATGTTAATTTTTAGAGCTTTCGTGAAAATTGGTGTCGATTTCTCTGTAGACACTTCAGGAATTGTTCAAACCAGGGTTCATCGAATTCAAAAGGATTTGTATACAAAAGGAGATCAGAGATTTCAAAGCTCACAAATCTTTAATAAATGAAACAGGATTTGAATATATGGTTATTGAAAAACATATTCAGTTTGAACTATAATATATAAGGTTTTGATTGAAAGATAAATTGGCGGATATTTGGTCACTGAACAAAACTGTTCTGAAGGTCCATTGAAGTATTTGCTGAATCCAGCAAGTTAAAAAACTGTGGGAAATACTTAAATTTTTGTCAATGGAATTGCTACAAAAGGATAGTTGATCAACATAAGCTACAGACTTGATCTTCAACTTATTTCAAAGAAGAAGTGATTTCTTTTTGGCGTGAAAATAACCGGGTTCAATTCATTGCCACGAAAACTCGGGCATTGGTTTTCTCCAAAATGATAAATGTTCTTTGTTTCGATAAGTTTGTTGGGGGTTGTTAGAGGTATTCAAGTTACTTAGCACATTTGATTCCACCAAGCGATACATATCAGAAATACGCGAGAGATTGTGGTTACTCACAGTTTTAATGTACAACTCGGAATGAATTTCATCTCCAGCGATTCAAAGCCAACGTAAATCACAACTTTCGCACAGACACCGCTCTTAGAACGGTTGTATTTCGTTCAAAAAAATGTAGTTTGATCTGTTGAAAAAATGGAGGGTTCATCAGTAGCGTGTTGTGAAAATTTCAAATTGACGGTTCTGGAATCTATTCAACTTTCGAAGAAAATAATCAAATGTTGATCATTTTTTTTTAAAATACATGAATCAAAAGAAAAATTCCATCCTCTTGAGGAACGGAAATAATGACTTTCAACAAAAAACTGATACTGCAATCATGGGCAATTTTCGAGTACATATGTGACAGACAGGCAGACAGATAGGTACATATTAAATTTGAGTAGGGTTGTGACATTTTAAAAAATCTAAATGAAAATTTTGTAGTAGTTCAGATAACACCGTAGTTCATTTGAATTTTTGAATTGATATTCAATACTATAAAACACGTGTGCGTTACAGGACGGCCGACAAAAGTACCAACTCAAACTAATCTTAGTTGAAATATCAAAAATTGAATTTGTTCAACTTGAGATGAGCTTAGTTTTCTACGTATGATTTTTACGTATATTAATATGAGGTTATTTATTGATAAAATATATTATTTCCTTGAGAAAATTGTTACTCTTTTATGAATAAATAATGATATTGATAATGATAATAATACTCTCGAATCTTAAAATCATACCGGCTTTCCGCACTAAGGCAGAAATCTCAGCCGCACAGATGCAGAAGGCTGTCATTCTTGGCTCACTGCGTTTGCTCAGGGCACATGATTCTCGGACCCACTGATCACTTACCCCACGGTGTGATGAGTGGTCATTGGTTGATAATGCCAGCGCGCCCTCCCGAATGTATCGGGGCTTCGGGGGATAGGGCCTGAGCAGCGCACAGTATGGTGGAAACATAATAATAATGGTCTTTATTGGGTGAAATACAATATACATCCAAAAGGCGTTCAAAACTGCAGTGTAGAACACTACATGTTTGTTCTACCACTTAACCTCCATTGATGTACATACACAAAATTAGCCACGTTTCATATGATAAAAGAATATTACGTGTCTGCTACTTTTTATAATACGTGCTAGTTAAATTTTTATAATACAGTATATGTATATCACATGAAGAGGGTTAAAGGGAACAACAGGAGTGAAGGTAATCGCATTGTCTACTCTTTAGCCAAGGAAACGTCTGGACTAAGAATTTTAGGACCCAGTGACACCTAAGGCCTGGTGACTTCAACAGTTGCGAAACTAGCTAATCGTCACACCCATGCTCAATCCCTAAAGAGATGGGATGGAATCAAAGGATGCAATATTGCCAGGTTCACCCTGGGCGACCCTGGGAAGCTGGCGCCGACGAAATATCTGGCGATGAGCAGGAAAAATATACGCCTAACAGTAGGATTTCTGACTGGCCACTGTCAATGAAGGAAACACTTCCATATTATGGGGCTAGTTGGCACACCTCTATGATGCATGTGCGAACAGAAAGATGAATCAGTCAGGGATGTCCTATGGAAGTGTTCGGAGTTATCGTTAATGAGAGAGTGTGTGTTTAGCGAGTCTTGGTCTACACCTGCCGATATAAAGGAAATATCTCCCAGGGACCTGTTCACCTTCCTGGAAAGGACGAGATGGACGATTACCTAGGAGGACAAGGCCTTGGGAGGACGTACAATGGGTCACATGTGGCCCAAGTGCTGTAGGCCTACACTCACCCTCCCTTCTCTACAGATTCAGAGATATCTATCGCACACTAAAGCATCTGTCCGACTAGACAGGGGGAGGTTGTCTTCCGCTGACATATGCATGAGAGAGGAAAGCCAGGCTGACTGGCGCTGTAACGCTTTAGGTAACGAAGCGGTCCACCCTACCATACGAAGAAATCACTTCAACATTTACTCTTAGCAAGCCCCTATGTCTGATACTGACTAATTTCCAAAGGAGTTACATCTTTGATATTTGTTCCACATTTTTTGAAGTGATAACTTCTTATGGGAGGACAAACCGCTTTGTAACGTTACGCATCAGTATGTTTGGCTTCCCTTTCTCGTAACTCTATAGCTACGTAGAAATATCTCGCGTGGGCACGAAACTTCGGTCGGTCAGCCGTGCTGGGGTAATGTTGTGAGCAATATGTGACGTAATCGTAACACGTCGAACTATTGGAGCCAAGTCTAGTAATGAGAATGAAGTTATTATCACCTAGATAAGGTGTTCATTCAGTAAATGATGGAAGAAGTAATTTTGTCAATTTTTCTACCCTATATCACGAGCTGAGGTGCCATCCAAAAAAATTTCACAACTGTACTAGAATGAGTTTACACATTCAATTATATTTTAGAGAACATAAGAAATCTGGAACCTGGTATTTTTAGAAACCATGTAATTACGCGGGAAAAACTGTTTTCAACGCTGAAATAAATCGCTGAATGAAAGAAAACTCTCACGGGTGTCCCAAGACGAGCACGTTTTTTTTCAATTTACAACATACACTGAAATCTCCTATATTGAAATCTCCTGAAAGATCTCACTTTCCAATCAGTTAATTGAAAAACAACTCAGTTTTCGAATATTTTCCCATTGTTTTAATTCAACCGTTGTTATAAATACGTTCTAAACATAATTGTATATCATGTAATTCAACCCACCACAGAAAATTGA